GATGATTTTACCCACATTTTTCAACGGAATTGTCTGAAAATCCACACAAGGAGTTCCTTGTGGGTACTTTATACCTCGGCAGAGAATTATCTATATAGATCCACGATATTGTATAGCCCTCATATAACGGTACCCCCGATCTTCGGTATTTTGATGTTTTTAGCCATATTTTTCAACGGAATGGTCACAAGGGTTTCTTTGTACACAAGGGGTTCTTTGTGAGCACTTTACCCACTGACAGAGAATTCTCTATATAGGTTAACGATAACGTATAGCTCCCATATAACGGTAGCCACATTTTCCAATCGTATTGTCTGAAAATCCACACACGGAGTTCCTTGTGAGTACTTTACACGCAGACATAGATTTGTCTTTATAGGTCCACAATATCGCATATCCCCCCACATATCGGCACCTTCCTATATTAGATATTTTAAAGATTTTAAAAGAATTTTTATTGGATTTTATTTTTTTGAAAATTTTCTAATTCGTTCCAAATGGTGGAGGGTATTCAAAGTTCGGCCCGGCCGAACTTACTGCTTTTTTTCTTGTTACTCTTTAGGCCCTTTTTTGTTAGTTTTAAATGAAACCCTCAATTCCAAATGAAAATTCAAAATTGTTTTTTGTTTCAATTATAAATTATTTATGTATTTATTTGGATCTTCGGTCTTTTTATTTATTTATTTTTTTATTATTTGATAATTTTTATAAATATTTAATGACTATTTCGTAATTTAGTATTTTAAAAGCAGTACTTGAGATTTGGTTTTCTTTTATACACTATTCATTGGATTGTAATAGAAAAAATGTGAAAATAGTTTAACAATTAAAGTTAATCTGTATTTTAACAAAAAAAAAAAAAAAGGAAAACCTAAACATTTCTTATTTGAATTATTAAATATATTACAACTGTATAAACAATTTTTATATAATTTTATTTTTTTTTTTTAATAAACAATGTAGAAATTTGAATTTATTTATGAAAATTACTACTACATATTTATTTAACATGCATATTTTGTTGTGGGGAGGGAGTTCTTGGTGTTATGGGAAAATGTATAGCATAATTAATAAATTTATTAATTATGTTATAATTGTGATGTAAAAAGGAAGGACAGATATTATGGATTATTAAATTATAAAACAAGAAATAAAAATGTGTATATCAAAATTGTGAAAAATATTATTCAAATATTTCGATAAGAATTTCTTTTTTGGAAATTAAACAATTTTATTTAACAAGAAATTAAAAATAAAAAATCCTACCACTAAGCTGACTTTTTTTTTAAAGTACCCACATAAGTGAAAGCACTTTTCGCTAAACTATTTGTATTTTATTTATTATTATAATTATTATTAATTCATTTTAGTTTTCTCTAATTTAAACAATTATATTAAAAATTACCTACAAAAAATTATGTTTATTGGCGTCATGTGTTTTGTTTTTTTGTTGTTATGTTTTAAAAAATAGAGAATTATCAATAATAAATACTTAACATCTAAATCAGTTGTTGCAAAGTTTTTGGTATATTTTTCCACTTTTAATTTTTGGATTATTATTTATTGGTTGTATTTTTTTGTAATCCTTTTAGAATTTTCTACTATTATCAATTATTTTTAATAAATATATGTTGTGGTGAATTTCTTTCATTTGTCTTTAGGTTGTGTTAAATATAAAGAGTTCATTATAAGTGTATTTATAAGTTATTATGGAGTAGAGGAGCAGGAGTATTTTTTTATTATTATATTTTAGAGTTGGTATTTTTACAAAAAATAAATAATTTTTTGAAAATATTGTGCATTTTTTATTTACTTTGTCTAGATTTGGTGTACGAAAAGGTTGCCTAAAAACATTGCCCCGCAAAATATGGGAATATAGCTTCCAAGAGAAGTATTAGAAAAGAGCGAGATCTCCCCCCGTAAATAAAAACTAAAAGATGTACCGAATTCAGTAGGGTTGTCCATTAATCAGAATGATTCAAAAAAAAAAAAATCTAAAATCGACTTTGGCTCGAAATATCATAAAGTGATAGATCGGGAATAGGATTTATTTTGAACTCGATTGACATTTTTGTGTTGAAAAAATCTTGAAGTCGACTTTAGCCTGCCTATGGTGAAAATTTACCATCTGTTTGGCAGTACTTCACTTCAAAAAGATCTAACATCAAAATCGGTCTTTGGTTAGAAAAAAAAAATGAAAAGTCGACTTTGGTGTTGAAACGAATATCTAAAAGTGTTAAGGTCGACATCGAGAAGGAATAAAAGTCGGAATTAATGAAGATCTAGAAGAAGATCTTATAATGAAGATCTAGTTAATAAAAATTTCTATAACAAGTTAACGAAATTTTTTGATAAGATCAATAGTTCAATTGCTTTTAATTTCGATAATTAACAATTTTTCGTTTAATAACGAAAATAAAGTAGTCGCTTAGGCCAACGAATACCAAAAATATTGTCAATTGAATTTCAATTTTTATGTGGACACTTTACGTTTTTTGTCCGCAACGGAAAAAAGGTTAGAATATCCCCTTGTGAGTTGGAGCTGGAGTACGTAAAGAAATTCGATAGAAGATCAACTAAAATTACCTTAAAAGTTGGCATTTTCCTAATATTTTTGGTGCACTTAAAGTGTTTACGGAAGGTCAGAGCAGACCTGAAAAATAGATCAGACTGGATCGAACTTTTTATAAGTTTTTGAAAATCTGACAATGTGAAAACTTGATTTATAGCCTAATCGACTGTCCTGAAACTCTCTCATATGTTCCAAAAATGAGGGTAGTTCGTTATATACCAAAAAGTGAAGGATTTAAGCCACATCGGTTCAGATATAGCTATAACTGGTTCAGATATAGCTATAACCGTAGCGAAAACCTTCTTCCGCCTATGCATCAGTGCTTAGTTTCAATCACGTTTTGAGAAAAAAACCAGCCAAACCAAAAAACCAAAGATTGGCGACACTACTCTTAAATGTATTTTTATTTGTTTCGTTTGCAGCTGTGGGTTGAGGATATACCCTTACTTACAAATAAAACACAGGTACCACGAAAACTATAGTAGATTTCCCTAAGAACAAAATCTGCGAATTTTACTCCTATTCTATAACGAACAAAACACAGCCGCTCTTTATTCGTGTGGCATAGATAAAAAGAGTTTGAACTATTTTTTCACTCGCAGGTATGCTCCAGCTTGAAAACGAGCAAGTTTCACTCACTAGCAACATTTCGGAGTTTCCTACAAACATATGTGCTACATTTGATTAATTAATTTTATTTGGAAATTGTAAGCACTGACTTGATGTTAAATCGACATAGAAGTTTTCGCTGATAACTAATATAGGCACTCCTCGGGGTCTTTGACCAATATGGCAAGGTGTTGGAAAGGGCATGACAAGCCACTTTTACCTGCATTAAGAGAAGGTGGCATTGAGACTTGTATTCCTGTGGCTCTGATTTCGCAGTCTTCGAGAATTCTAAAATTCTGACTCAAATCGAATTCCTTCAAGGAAGACCTTCGTGGGGCATCAATCTCGATGCAACCGAAGATTGTTCAGTTGTAAGTTGAGATGCGAAATGTTATAGGACCTTCTTCGAACCACCACTATTTGTGTCCGAGTTTATTGAGAAAAATTCGAGGAGATGTATGCTAATGGAGAAGTTTAAAGCTAATAGAGGTTTTGGTACTTATGTAGAATATCCTCTAGTCTCTGTAGACATTCTTAAGGTCCTTTCTCTAGACGTCCTTAAGGTCGTCTCTCTAGACGTCTATAGAGACGACATCGAGGACGTCAATAGAGACGACCTTAAAGGACGTCTATAGAGACGACATCGAGGACGTCAATAGAGACGACCTTAGAGGACGTCTATAGAGACGACCTTAAAGGACGTCTATTGTGACGACCTTAAAGGACGTCTATAGTGACGACCTTAAGGACGTCTATAGATACGATCATAAAGGACGTCTATAGAGACGACCATAAAGGACGTCTATAGAGACGACCATAAAGGACGTCTATAGAAAAGACCATAGAGGACGTCTATAGAGACGATCTTAAAGGACGTCTATAGAAACGACTATCAAGGACGTTCATAGAGACGACCATAAAGGACGTCTATAGAGACGACCATAAAGGACGTCTATAGAGACGACCATAAAGGACGTCTATAGAGACGACCATAAAGGACGTCTATAGAGATGACCATAAAGGACGTCTATAGAGACGACCTTAAGGACGTCTATAGATACGACCCTAAAGGACTTCTATAGAGACGACCATAAAGGACGTCTATAGAGACGACCTTAAAGGGCGTCTATAGAGACGACCTTAAAGGACGTCTATAGAGACGACCATAAAGGACGTCTATAGAGAAGACCATAAAGGTAGCTATAGAGACGGCCATAAAGGACGTCTATAGAGACGACCATAAAGGCAGCTATAGAGACGACCATATAGGACGTCTATAGAGACGACCAAAAAGGATGCCTATAGAGACGACCATAAAGGACGTCTATAGAGACGACCATAAAGGACGTCTATAGAGACGACCATAAAGGACGTCTATAAAGACGACCATAAAGGACGTCTATAGAGACGACCATAAAGGACGTCTATAGAGACGACCTTAAAGGACGTCTATAGAGACGACCATAAAGGACGTCTACGGAGACGACCATAAAGGACGTCTATAGAGACGACCATAAAGGACGTCTATAGAGACGACCATAAAGGACGTCTATAGAGACGACCATAAAGGACGTCTATAGAGACGACCTTAAAGGACGTCTATAGAGACGTCCTTAAAAGACGTCTATAGAGACGACCATAAAGGACGTCTATATAGACGACCTTAATGGACGTCTATAGAGACAACCATAAAGGACGTCTATAGAGACGATACTATCCAAAACCTCTCTTTAGCTTTAAATCTCTCCATTTGCACTTAAAAAATATTTCAATTTTGTTTAATATTCTACATTTTCTTATTGGTTTTTGAATTATCCGTTTTTTTTTTCTAAAAAAATTAGAGTATTATCACTTAAGAGTTGAGAAATATTTGAATATTTTGTTTTGTAGAAAAAAGAATTTAAATTAATTTATTTTAGTTTTTCTGGTTTGTTTTTTTTTTTTTTTTTTTTTTGTTAAATTCATCTAATTGGTAAAGTCATATTCATGCATAGATCATGATCCCGGTGATCACCCCAACCGCCATTGCCTTTGCGTAATTTGGTTTTTTTAATCAGACTTGCCACCGTCAGCGTTAGAGATTTGGGGAAAATTTGCCCCGACTTGCGAGCAATGCGCAAAACCTGTTGCACCTTGGAAATGACCTGATTTGATTCGCAGTTTTTCTTTTTGTGATGGACGCCACTAGAAAAAATGGATTTTAAATATTATTATTAAATATAATTTTTATTTATTTTTTACGTCGTACCATTCTCCAATGTGAAACACCCTTGGACCTTTGACAATCATGGCATGCAGTTTGCGTTGCAGACACTGCTGGGACACATGTTGCAGCGACCAGTCCCAGTTGTAATCGTCGTACGAACAAAAATGTTTGCCACATTTTCGTATGCTGGTCCAGGTGGTGCGATTGAAAGCAAATCCCATGTTATGTTTGCTGCTTATCCAGGGCATCACCTCCACCTTTTGGGAGTTTTAGATAAAATAAATAAAAATGTATTTTTTTTTATAATTAATTTATTGCAATAGTTTTAGTTCTATAGCTCTATATATTATGTGTATTCAACTGTGTTCTAGCATAATTGAATTTATTTTAAATATTTTATTTAATAATAAATATAGGTAAATTTAGTAGTAAATGTAGAAAAACAAGTATTAAATAAGTTATTCAAACTAAAAGTTAAATAGAAAAATATTAGCAAACTATAGTAAAATTGTAAGTTAATATTAAGAAATATTTAAAAGTAGGTAGGTAGGTAGGTGCATGCAATAATTTAATTACTATTTTTGGATACAATTTTTATACCCTCCACCATTATATGGAGGGTATATTAACTTTGTCATTACGTTTGTAACTCCTGGAAATATTCATAATAGACCCTAAAAATTATATATATATATATATATTCTGGATCAGAGTAAAATTCCAAGACGATCTAGTGCTCCGTCTTACAATTCCGTCTGTCTGTCGGTCCGCTGTAATCACGCTTTCGAACGAATTAAGATAAAAGGCTAAAAGGCTAACAGAAAATTGCCTGTGCAGGTTTACGCCTTCGTATAGCCCCCATGCAACAGTACCTCCCGATATTCGGTATTTTGACGATTTTAGCGACATAATTCACTTCAAATTTGGTATTTGAAGTTCGTTATAGGTACTACAGCCTATAACAAAAAATTTGTATGCAACGGAGCCAGAAACTGATAATCTAAAATCCTGGAAAGGGGGGGGGGGGGGGGGGTTCCCCTTCTATTTAGGTTACTTTGCCATGTAAACTTTCAAACGCCTTTTATTTTTAGGTCTACTTTTATAATGTGCTGATTTTTATGCCCTCCGTCATAGGGCACCTCCCTATATTCCGTATTTTGATAATTTTAGCGACATTATTCACCGGAATAGTTTCATATTTGAAGTTCCTAATGGGTACTACAGTCTTTGAAATGAAATAGTCTATGCAGGCCCAGGTTCTCGTATAGCTCCCATATATCGGTACCTCCCTACATTCCGTATTTTGACGATTTTAGGTACAATATTCCTAATACATACTACAGCCAGTAACAGAAAATAGTCTATGCAGGTCCACTTTCTCGTATAGCCTCCATATAACGGTATATCACGATATTCGGTATTTTGACGATTTTAGGTACAATATTCACTGGAATTTTTTTTCCAAATTTCGTATTCGCAGTTCCAAATGAGTACTACAGTCTGTGGCAGAAAATTGTTTATACAGATCAAGGTCTTCGTATAGCCCGCCACCATATATATAGGTACCTCCCTATATTCGGTATTTTGATGATTTTACTTACACTATTCACCGGATATTTTGGGACATCCGACGGAATTTAGTCTAGAAGGAAGTACATCAAATTTGGTGCAAATCGGTTCAGATATTGCTATAGCTCCCATATATATATGTTTCTTCCGATTTGGGGTTTTAAGTGCTATTATACACTCCACAACATTGATATCTGGTTCCAGATATCTCATAGAGATCGAAAATACCTTAGCCAAATTTTATATCTTCAACCGATTTCGGGTTAATTGTGCACCAAATGGCCTAAATTTTGGCACATCCAACCGAATTTAGCCAAGAAGAGGGAACATCAAATTTGGTGAAAATCGGTTCAGATGTAGCTATAGCTCATATATATATGTTTCATTCGATTTGGGGTTTAAAGTTCCTCAGATGCGTAATATGCACTTTGCAACAATGATCTTTGGTACTAGATATCAAATACAGCCCAGAAATACCTCTGCCAAGTTTTATCAGGATCGGTTCAGATTTGGATATAGCTCCAATACATATATCTTCAGCCGATTTCGGGTTAATTGTGCACTAAATGTCCAATATAAGTCCAAATGACCTGAATTTTGATACATCCGACCGAATTCAGTCTAGAAGGAAGTACTTCAAATTTGGCCCCTTACATGCATAATATGCACTCCACAACAATGATATTTGGTACCAGATATCTTACAGAGATCGAAGTTCCTTTTGATGATCTGCATAGAATCACATTCTGAGTCGATTTATGCATGTCCGTCGGTCCGTCGGTCCGTATGTCCGTCCGTCTGTCCATGTATTTTTGTAAACAAAGTACAGTTCGCATTTATTGCTCCATCCAGATGAAATTTTGCACAAATCATTTGTTTGACCCAAGGACGAACCCTATTGAAATTGGAGATAATCGGTAAAAATTTAGATATAGCTCCCATATATATCTTCGTCCGATTTGCCTTTTATTGTGCACCAAACGTGTAATATCAGCCGTATGGAATTTTGCACATGCAACCAATTAGGCCTGAAAATAAGAGTGCCAAATTTGATCGAAATCGGTTAAGATATAGCTATAGCTGCCATATATATATGTTTCATCCGATTTGTTATTTTTGTCCTCCGCAGCCGTAATATGCACTCTGTAACAACAATATTTGGACAAATATATCAAATGCAGCTCAGAAATTCCTTTGCAAAATTTTATCGAGATCGGTTTAGATTTGGATATAGCTCCCATATATGACTTCGTCCGATGTACCTTTGATTGTGCACCAAATGTCTAATATTTGCTCATATGGTATGAAATTTGACACTTGCGACCGAATTGAGTCCAGAAGCTAGCATGCCAAATTTGGTGAATATCGGCTCAGATATAGCTATAGCTCCCATATATATTGTTCATCCGATTTCTAGTATTTGTTACCCACAGCCGTAATATGCACTGCGTAACAACGATATTCAGGAAAATATATCAAATACAGCTCAGAAATATCTTTGCCAAATTTTATCGAGATCGGTTCAGATTTGGATATAGCTCCCATATATATATCTTTATCTGATTTCAAATTAATTTTGCACCAAATGGCCCATACAAGTCCGAATTTAAATGATACAAATTCTTCGGCATATTTAGTCCTTTGAACTTTAAATAATAATTGTAATCATTGAATTCTCCCATAAAAACTTTTAATTGTTACGTGGAGCTCTATTAAATTAGCAAAGTGGTGTAGGGTATCAAAAAGTCGGCCCCGCCCGACTTTAGGACCCTTGGGTTAACCTATTTCAATAGTTGAGCCCTTGGGTGAATCTATTTCAATAGATGAGCCCTTGGGTGAACCTATCGCAATAGGTGAGCCCTTGGGTGAACCTTTCGCAATAGGTGAGCCCTTGGTTGACCTTATCGCAATAGGTGAGCCCTTGGGTGAATCTATTTCAATAGATGAGCCCTTGGGTGAACCTATCGCAATAGGTGAGCCCTTGGGTGAACCTTTCGCAATAGGTGAGCCCTTGGTTGACCTTATCGCAATAGGTGGGCCCTTGGGTGAACCTATCGCAATAGGTGAGCCCTTGGGTGAACCTATCGCAATAGGTGAGCCCTTGGGTGAACCTATCGCAATTGGTGAGCCCTTGGGTGAACCTATCGCAATAGGTGAGCCCTTGGGTGAACCTATCGCAATAGGTGAGCCCTTGGGTGATCCTATCGCAATAGGTGAGCCCTTGGGTGATCCTATTGCAATAGGTGAGCCCTTGAGTGATCCTATCGCAATAGGTGAGCCCTTGGGTGAACCTATCGCAATAGGTGAGCCCTTGGGTGAACCTATTTCAATAGCTGAGCCCTTGGGTGAACCTATTTCAATAGCTGAGCCCTTGGGTGAACCTATTTTAATAGGTGAGCCTTTGGGTGATCCTATTTTAATAGGTGAGCGCTTGGTTGAACCTATTTTAATAGGTGAGCGCTTGGTTGAACCTATTTCAATAGGTGAGCCCTTGGGTGAACCTATTTCAATAACTGAGCCCTTGGGTGAACCTATTTCAATAGGTGAGCCCTTGGGTGAACCTATTTTAATAGGTGAGCCCTTGGTTGAACCTATTTCAATAGGTGAGCCCTTGGGTGAACCTATTTCAATAACTGAGCCCTTGGGTGAACCTATTTCAATAACTGAGCCCTTGGGTGAACCTATTTCAATAACTGAGCCCTTGGGTGAACCTATTTCAATAGGTGAGCCCTTGGGTGAACCTATTTCAATAGGTGAACCAAAGATACACATTTTCTATCGTTGAGCTAGTGGTGAACTAAGTTCAGCCTATTACAAAAGATGAGCCCATTTCAATTCCTGAGCCTTTGTTGAACCTAGTTTCAGTTCATGCCGATTATTAACCCATTGAGGTTGAACAACCCCTACCCTACTTTTCTATCTAAAATATTGTTTTTGAGACCCTCAGCCAAATGGCTAGAGAGGATATATATCATTTGATACAGTCAAAACGTGCCTAGTTGAAATAACGGTTTTGGACCCTAGGTCTCCTTGGACCAAATCCGTTTCTAAATCAAATAAATCTAATAAATTTTGTTTATAGCACAAATAATTTCATTTCTTTTGTTATTTTCTTTTCTAGAATTAATAATTCAAGATAAATTATCTAACTACTAAACTAATTTTTTAACGTGACCTTTAAGGCTAAAGGTTTTATTGTTCTCAACTAATGTATTGCAATTAATCGTTGTTCTGTTTTTGCAACTATTTTGCTCTTTGTTTTTTTTTTTTTTTTTTTTTTTTTTTTTGTAAGGCTAGTGCGTTTTGTCTCTGGTAGAGGGGTTGTGGACTTGGGACTGGGCGGAGACGTACGATGATTTCATATATAAATACCTCACGAAATTTATCCGTATTAAAAATTGGTGTTTTGGCACGTTTCGATGTACGATGTGTTATCTGTTGTGTTGTGTGTTCGAGAAGAGAAGTGTAAGAGTGTGTGTGTGTGTGTGTGGCAGCAAAAGGTCATCAATTTTGAAGGAGGGGGGCGAAATATTAAAAAATTCATAACAAAATATTATTTATCAAAACATTTTCATTCTCAAAAAAAGAAATCAGTTTTAAATAAAATATATTCTTTAATACTAGGGAACATGCTTAAAAATATATAATCGAAACAAGAATTCTCCGAGGGGAAAATAGACGTAACACT